TGTTGTCGGCAAAGGCCAAGTCACTGATGCGCACTGCTCATGTAAATCTGGGTATCTATCTAGGCCTAGGCTAACGTATGTTTTGCTTTTAAACCAGCTGTCTAAGGAATTAAATGTCCGAGAAAAAATTTTTGATCACGTGACTAAATGGCGCTCGCAGATTAGTAAGTTTATCTGTCAATCAACTCTCGTGGAGACGTTAATTGCGTGGTCTTTTGTTGTACTTTATTTCCTGATTCTGTTTGCCTCTGGACGGTGTGTATTTTAGGAATCTAAACAAATCTCTGGAAGCCTCAATGAACACGATGAATTGGTATTGTTTAACAAAATAAGGATGTGAAACTTCTAAATACAGACTAGGCTATTTTACTCCAATCTGCCGTTATTGAACGTTTTGTAGTTTATCAATTCGTACCATATTTTGTTCACTATTTATTGATGTCTTTAACATTAAATGCGACTAAAGAATGAGTGTTCTACGTTGGACAACACTCCTACTACTCGTGAAATTTTCCAGCCAGTCAGCATGTGGAGACACCCACTCAACGGGCGATTGTAGTTGCCAGTGGCATTTAGATGGTACTTGGGTAGTTGATTGTACGGGACGTGGACTTAGTGAATTACCCGAAGGCATACCGGTGAACACCACGTATCTGTAAGTGTTTCGATGTTTATCCGCCTTTTTGGAAAACACTTAGATTTAATAATGAAATAATTATACTTTATTATCCAGTACTTTCGAAACCTTACTAACACTTATATTGCTCATTACAAGTCAATCGTGACGTCATCACTACTACTCCCGATGTTATTTGCATAACCCCCACAGTCCACTAAATTTTCAGTTAGTGGACGCTTGGCTTGATTTTTTTATGTTCGTGTGCAAAAAAAGAAAAAAACAAAAACATAACAAAAAGTCTTCATTTTTTCGTTACGAGTTGGATGGCCGAGCGGTTAGTGCAGGCAGGGGCGTCGCAACATACAGCCAATATATCAGCGCTGGTTCGAACGGCACGCTCGCCTATGGTTCTGGTGGTGGAACAAGTTTCCTCGGAAGAGGACTATAAACCGTAGGCCCAGTGTACGCAGTTTGGCTCGTGTGCACTTAAAAGAACCCAGTACATCTTTCGAGACAAGCAGAGGATTACCCCGATGTACTGGTCCATACAGCCCCTGTTGTGGACAGAAAAGAATAGCTGGTACCGGTTTACCGGGTAGCTCAGACATGAAGAGATCCTTAGGAAAGAAGAAAGTTACTGTACGAGCTAGTCCACAGCGCTTTGAGACTCCGTTATAAAGCGCTATGTAAATCGATCTACATTACATTACATGGCGCACTGCAATAAAATTGAATTGAAATTGAAAATTACTTTCGTAAAACAAACTTAATTATGACCCGAAGAAAGTTACTTCAAATTCAATATTAAGTATGAGCAAATAAGGAATTCATTGAATCAGTGGACCCTCATAAACAAAACAAACTGAATGTTTGATAGGAATATTCTAGAGCTATTTTAAAGACTCAAGGAACAAATTTAGATACTGGCCTATGGGCAGGCGTGAAGGCTGCCGAGGCCTTCTAAAGTTCAGGACTGTATTCTCTCTCGAATGCTGAAATGATTATTTCTTTGACGAATGTCTACCAAAACAGCATTACAAAAAAGTTCTTTAACACAATGAAGATTACAAGAGATAATCATCGTTTCCGTACTGTACCTGCTGATTTGTAGTTAGCGCGTGCTCGGGCACGTATGAAGCAGGAGCACAAATCAGCACACGCACAGCTAAATGTAAATACACACAGAGAATACTGATTTATCACTATAGCTACCGATGACTACTACAACACTTCGTTATGAAACAAACTAAAATTTAAAGATGGCGATTGACTTATAAAGCAATTTGTAGTGCTCCGCATAGTGCACTATAGGAAAATTATTATACTTAGGCTAGAATTAATGCATTCAAAAAAATTCTTCCGGACTTGCAGGATCTCATGAATTTTGTTCATGCATTAAATCTAATCTTCGTATGATAATTTTTCAATAGTGACATAGGGTACCTTTCGCCTACTAATCAATAAGTAGAGCTCCGAATAGTAGAGCCCATGCGGAGCTCTACTGATTGCTTAGTAGGCGAAAGGTACCCCATGTCACGTACAGGTTTGTCATTACATGTTCGGTCAGTCATTCGTCCCCCTGTACCTAGGTCCTAAACTCAAATAGAATTTAGGCATTGGAGTAATGTGAATAAATTTTAGATTTTTGGAAAGAAAGAAAAAAGAAAAGACTTTTTGGTCAGAATTCACTATCAACGTTGGGTAAGTCATTTTCATATAGCACACATCTCTTTGATCCTGGCTATCGAATAATAGGTTCTGATGAGTATTATTGTTTATCCCTGTATTAGCAGAAAAGCTATTGTGTTACTCAGATTTTTAAATTGAAGATGTGCAAATATAAATATGAAGTCATCTACATATTTCGAATATTAGGTTAAACTTTTCGTTTTGTATTTTATGCGGCCTCAAACTAGCTACAAATGTGGAAAAACACAAACTTACCGTGAAATGCTGCCGATTTTAAGCTATCAGTTTCGGTGACAAATATAATGCTGATACACTTCTATACTGGTGTCGGCACCAGCCATCAATCATCCGATCACAATCCAATAATCAGAGTCGGTGACGGCATCATGAATGGTGATGTCACCGAAACTGATACTTATCAGATCTATTAGGAGAATCGGGTGGTAAAATGCAGGGCTCCAAAAGAGGTGACTTATATGGATCCAGCTTTTTAAGGACGGGGTGGGGTGGGGTGTCGTTCGCTTCCTTGAGTAGTAGCAGTAGTAGCAGTAGTAGTAGCAGCAGCAGCAGTAGTAGCAGTTGTAGTATCAGCAGCAGCAGCTGGAGCAGCAGCAGCAGCAGCATAGGATCATTCTCCGAAGTAGGGCCGTCATTCTTTTTGCATAAAGAATGTTAGAATGCAGGGAAACTAAACTCTGATGCCGTTTGATTATGTTTAAAATCTAAATGAGTTTTGTATCAGGTACACAAATCGAAAGCAGTGCACGATAAAAACATACTGCTTGCAGATATTACAATATTCAGTAGCATGTGATATACGCAAATCTTGATTTTCCTGATTTAGGCCCAGCTCACCCCACAATCAAAGTATTGTAGGCCTACACCTTCACATGTGCTCATGGATGCTTTAAGAGGCTAATTATTGTTTTAGACGTTAATGTATATTCAAACGAGCGTATACTACACATTTTCATGTAGAGCGAAAGAAACACTGAACACAATTTGAAACTAACTATTGATAACTATTAGATTGAAACCCCGACCGACCACATACTACGCGTAATTATGTTCGGCATGTGTGTCCTTTGTACCGGCTACAAACAAAGTGAAACACACTAAACACAAAGAGAGTTTACCGGCGATTATTATAAGGGTATAAAAACATGATTTATTTATTGTTGCACCTTAAATAAACAACGTGTATTGACGGAAGAAGTCGACCAGAGAATCGTGCTTCCATCTCCATGTGTTAATTTGAATTCAGAAGTATAGGGGTTTTTCCCTATCTAATGATTTGCAAACAAGTTTTAAAGTTTATTCAAGAACTGTTTAATAGATCGGTTCAGAGTGGTCCAAAATATTTTTTTTGGCTTGGCAGGGGCGGATTTAGGGGAGGGGGGGCCGGCCCGGCCCCGGCCCCCCTTCACATCT